TTTTAGAACATGTTCTAGAACTACAGAGCCTGGATTTCAGTCTTGAGTCTGCCTTTGATTGGCCTTAGCCTAGGCCTTTGGCAGTTTCTTAACTTCTTTCAAAGTCTATTTTTTTCAAATGAGAGTAATTGCATAAGAGTATTCAGTGATTACCATGTAGCTTCACTCAGTCCTGGCTGAACACACTGATCAAGCAGTGGTCACACACTAGGTAGAGGTACAGAAGGATCTTCATCTTTCCCTAACAGCCAGGACACTGTGCCATACTTGTGGGCTGCAGTCAGATCATGAGCTCTAGGGCCAAGGTGCTAGGTCAAGTCTTGCTGCTACCACTATTACCTGTAGGATTTTGGGCAATGAAACACCCCAGTTTGCCTGCCAGATGGGACATTAGTAGTACCTATTATTTGGATAAGTAATTTTCGGTGCTGAGAAAAGAAATTTGTATTTACTTAATGTTGTAAGGTCTTTTTTATTAGCAATATTATTTTATCCAATCTAATTTCTTTCCCAGTATGTGAACTTTGTATGCAATTCATAACTTATGAAATTTATGTTTGCTGTACTGTAATTTTTAGTTCTCTTCACAGTCTTAGGCACATAATATTAGTCAGATGACTGGAGACTTTCTGCAGGAAGTGAATGTGAGGCTGGGCTGAGAAGGATGTATTAGATTTAGGCTGCAGAAGAGACAAAGTGGAGACATGGTAAGAAGGGACTCCCTCAGGTGGATTTTGTAAGTTTTAAGATAATTGAACTGCACGGGAAGTGTAGTTCCACACTAAAGAGTTAACTGAGTTAAGCTGAGATACAAGGACTACACCTTTCCCTTCTATATATTTACCTGATTACATAGGTCAGGCATGAGAATGATGGAGTTTGGGGAGAACCTGGCATCCTTGGTCTTTGCTATACTTTTCCTGATATTCTCATTTTGAAGAGCCTAGGCAGAATATGGCACATGGATCTTGGGAGAAAGGCAGGTATAACCAGTGGGTATTGAGTCCAATGGTAGACTGAGCCAGCTGAAAGAGTTGTGGAGCAGGGAGATCACCATTTGCAACATTGTGGGGACTCTTAGAATTTGTGTAATGGCCTCCTGGAGTCACAGCCAAGATGTGGTAAGTGACCAAATCAGCAAACCCCTGAGGTCCTTTCCACTAGTGCTTTCTATGACCAATGTGGCTGCATCCTCTTTCTCTCCATGATGGTGTGGGGCCATGGAGGTGGTCTTGTGGTTGGTTCAGGATCAGCCTATGATGGACTAGCCCTCTCTGTCCATTAAAATCTGATGGTGGTGACCATTCAGTACTACCTGGGAATCTGGGGATTCTTCAGGTAAGACATGGGACTCTTCCCTCTACACTTTAGCTTCTGTGTTGATTTTTTACTTTGATATAACAAAGTACCCAAGACTGAATATTTATTTTCAAAAAAAAAGTTATTTAGTTCATTCCATCATCAGGTGGTTTCATCTGATTGCTGTTTGGTGACACCTTCTCTGGCTGGGTTGCAACTTGGTGGAAATCATAAAGGGAACCTTCAGCATACAGAATAGGTCATAAGAAGTCAGAGAGCAGGATCTGGGATCATCTTTATTTTGTAGGAAGATCATCTTTATCATGTACAGCAACTCACTCTTTGGGGAGCTCTTGAGCATCTCATGACCTCTATATTAATGTCGTCTAAGGACAGCAGCCCCAATAATCTAATCACCTTTCACTAGGCCTCACCTTTTACAGGTTCTATCAACTCTTCATACTGGCACAATAGGGATCAAGGCTTCAGCACATGAACCCTTGTGGGAAAAGTCATATGTAAACCAAACCATATGAGCTGCCACAGCAAAGATATGAAGTCCCAGCTGTAATCATGCCATCCAGCAAAGTGTCTTTCCTGTTTCTTTATAATACATTCAGTTTTGCTCTGTTTTCTTTTCCATATTTGTATTTTGCTGTCAAGATCTAGGTATTTTGGGAAATGTTGGAAGGATGAAAAGATATTAGACAGGGACAGGTGAGAGCTCTAGGTAGAGTTAGATAAGTGACCAGGCCCTTTAAGAAGTAGAGGAGACATGGCCTCTGGATCACAGCAAAGAATGAAGCTGACAGCCTTGTAAATTATTTGTGTTTGTGTTATCTACCACCCTCTCCTTAAATTTCCCTTCTAGTAGGTCACTTCCACAAAAGGAGTTGCTAAACTAGTCACTGGAAAATTCCCCTATAGCCAGCCACCAAACCTAGCCCCTAGTAATAAGAACAATAACCAATGAAGTAGGAACCCTCGGATTAGGTTGGCGTGGAGTTCCTACCAGAAAAGTGGACTGCAGCCCCACATTCCTTGGTATCTCAGCCCTGAGCTCTGCTTTTTACCATTTCTTCTTGCAATACCTATAAAACTTACTTTTGGTATACCTAAATTTACATTTGCTTTGCACTGGTCTTTTCTGATTCCTCTTTTTTATGTTGTAGAGAGAAACAAGTCTAGCTAGGCAGAGTTTGAGGATCCCTAGACCCCAGATGCACCTGACATAACAGATGGATAAATACAGCCACGGATTTTGGAATGATATGTCCATGTGTTGTAAGAACAAACTATCGAAAAAATCCCTGGTCTGAAAGTTAGTGTGTTCCTTGAACCTGATTTTA